ATATATATATATATATAATATAAAACTAATAAAAACAACAAAAAGTACCAGAATTACAAAAAATTTAAAAAAGAACACTGAAAATATCAAATTAAAAGCTGATTTAAAATATTAGTAAATACTATAATATGATATAAACAATACTTAAATAACACTGAACATTGTTACACTAATGTTGTTGCAGGTCAGTGGCATCACAACACTAGGAGAGAATATTGCCGACAACGGTGGCGTTCGTCAAGCATATAAGGTTTGTAGAATTAAATCCCTATAAACAACTAGAAGCACAGTGAGAAGTGCTTACATCTTAAAATTCTTGTTGTTGTGTGTGTGACATTAGGCGTATATGAAGTGGGTGGAGAGGGAGGGCGAGGAGCCACGTCTTCCCGGACTGGAAATGGATCACAAACAGCTCTTCTTTCTAAACTTTGCCCAGGTATGAATGACATCCACTTTAGGACGTCTGCATGTGCTCACCTTGATGCCCATGCAAGGTCAGTCTCACAAAGAGCGTATCAAATTAAACTGACACTGCTTAAAAGATACAGGTGCTGCTTAACCTCTAATATGTGCTTAAGGCATGAAATCAGTGATTGAATCATGCCATCCGATGGGATGAGTGCTGCTTTGAAGGACTTGGATTTGAAATGTCATTATTTGGATGGGCACATTTCAAAATATGTGTTAATATAAAGAATCTCAACAGAAAATCTGTTCTGCAAATGACATTCAAGCATAAAATGCAAGTTAGGTCAAACAATGTTTAAACTCCATGTTAAAATGTGTTCATTTGTTATTGGGTTATTTTTATTGAATATAAAAATGTCTCATGCTTTCTGTAGGTCTGGTGTGGTGCCTGTCGCCCTGAGTACGCCATTCAGTCCATCAAAACTGACCCACACAGCCCTCTGGAATACAGGCAAGATCTTTCTGCGAGATTTGTGAATTAAAGATGAAAATCTAAGTCATACTTAAGCATGGCAATGCATTAGATAACATGGTTAGCACAAGCTATTAAACACACTTGGAAAAAGCAAGCAAAAACAAACAAAACAAAAAAGTAGGATAAGCAAAAATGACTTGCCATTGAATTGGAATCTTAAAACTACTGTTTAAAAGTTTGGGGTCTGTAAGATTTATTTATTTTTTTAATGTTTTTAAAATAAGTCACTTATGCTCACCAAGGGTGCTTTTATTTGTTCAAAATACAGTAAAAACAGTAATATTGTAAAATATTATTCCAATTTAAAATAACAGTTTTCTATTTGAATATATTTGAATATATAATTTATTCCCATGATGCAAAGCTGAATTTTCAGCAGCATTACTCCAGTCTTCAGTGTCACATGATCCTTCAGAAATCATTCTGATATGCTGATTTGCTGCTCAAGAAACATTTCTGATTATTATCAGTATTGAAAACTGTTGTGCTGCTTCATATATTTTGCTGCTTAACAGTTTTCTCTAGATTCTTTTCTGAATATAAGGTACAAAAGAACAGCATTTATTTAAATACAAATATTTTGTAACATTTTAATTGTCTGTACTGTCACTTTTGATCAGTTGAATGCGTCCTTGCTGAATACAAGTATTAAAGGGGTCATATGATGCGATTTCAAGTTTTCCTTTCTCTTTGGAGTGTTACAAGCTGATTGTGCATAGATAAGATCCCTGAAGTTGCAAAGACTAAAGTCTCAAATCCAAAGAGATATTCTTTATCAAAGTTAAGACTCTGCCACGCCCCCCTAAAACGGCTCATTCTAACACGCCCCCACATATCTACCCCACTATGTGGAAATATTTGCATAATCCCGCCGCAAATGTGCACGCAAAGAAAGAAGGCATGGTGTCAGTAATCTTAACTTTGATAAAGAATATCTCTTTGGTTTTGAGACTTTAGTCTTCGCAACTTCAGGGATCTTATCTATGCACAATCAGCTTGTAACACTCCAAAGAGAAAGGAAAACTTGAAATCGCATCATATGACCCCTTTAAGCAATTTTTTATAGATATGTGAATAATATGTAATGCATATATTTTATTACAATATTTTTAAGCAAAACAGCTTTTTCAAAGTCAGTGAGCAAAAATTCTGATTTTTTTTTTGAAGAGAATACATCCTGCAGCACGTTCTTTTATTTAATAAGACATTCAGACATTTTTTAGTGTCTAAATAGTTTTTAGGTCCGCTGTAGGTGTTTTATAATTGATTGAGTGCCATGTTATTTTGTTTTTAACAGGGTTCTAGGGTCCCTCCAGAACTTTGAGGCATTTTCTGAAGCATTTCATTGTGCTCGAGGAACTCCCATGAATCCCGAAGAGAAATGTCGAGTGTGGTAACCTGCCGGTGAAGTTATGGGAGTCTGTGTATATTATACGAACCAGGCATCGGTTAGGAGAGCTTGGATCATATTATGTTGTGCTGTGGCAGCTGCCTGTCTGTTAGTCTGATATGACAGACACGACAAAGGTGTTAGACACCTACATGTGTGACTGCATAGATGTCTACTGTGAACTTTCAAATGCGCACATATAACCAACGAGTGCAGGCGTCGTGAACGTGCACAGTGAGGGTGTTGCTTTTCTGAAAAAGAGGCATGCTTTTTCATTATCTATAGGTCCTGTTTGAATATTTGCAGGTTTCATTATTAATTTTGTCGTTGAAAAACATGTGTAAACACAATAGTTCATTGTAACGGGAGGGCTTATTGACATCAGAATTTTCCAGATTATGTAAATGGATAAATCCCTCGGTTGGCTTTCCATTCTGTCGGCTCTCCAAGAATATATCCGTTTTGCTTAAGCGACCCCAAAAGCAGCTAACAACTGGAGGCTTGGAAGCCGATAGAGATTGTGGTTTGAATAGAAACCAGTCAAGGCATCATGTTTCGTTTCATAATAAGCAGCCTTAAAATATTTTGATTATGCTATAAGAAATTATTCTTTTCTTTTCTAAAGCATGCAGCGGAAAGAGGCAAAAGCTGGAGTCCTATTGAGCGCTGTTTTCCCCAAAAAATCCTAATGTATATGTGCGAGCTACAGTACGTTTCACTGGAGAATCTGTCATTCTTTAAAATCGAGGGCTTAGCGTTACGTAAAAGGGCCCGTGTTGACAATTACATGACAACCTTAAGACTGTTAAAACCATATCGCTTCAGGCTTTGTTTTTGTCCATAAATAGCCCCGATTCATGGCTGCCTTGCAATTACGTGACAGACTTCTGTTAAAGCCAGCAGATAATGGCAGGAAGCCGCTGCAATACGGGAATGAATTAGATGCAACGGGTCACTCAGACTGTTTGTTTGTTTCATACAAGCTGTTCGTTCTGCCAGGGAGCATTTCTGTTCATTGCAAATGTTAACACAATGTTAACACTGCATGTTTAGGGGCAAGAATCGGATCTAGAGAGACATGTATTAAAACTGAGGGATCTTTAACTATTCAATCCTCCTGGTTTGGTTTTTATTCGGGATTCTTAAAAACATAGTTGAAGCATTAAGATATAGAAACATCATTTTTATTTGTTTTTTTATCAGATCAAGATCCTTTTCTGAAGCAACACATTTTGTAATCAATATTTGTTCACAAATTAGTTTTAATACTCTACAACCATTTTTTTGTTTGCTTATGGTCATTGGTGTAAATGTTCACGTTAGGGTTGGGCGATGTCTACAAAATTGGCATCGGACGATGTCTACAGTGAAACATCGCGATGGACGATGACATTGGCGTGGGGAGCTAGGGGGTGTGCCCGAAGCGTGAATCCTTATAAGGCATGGAAAACAAATAACGATTCCTAACACCGTGTCAACAGCGGACGCGAGCGGCGCGGCAAAATACTATAGATCCACTGATCTATAATAGAGATTCATTACATATAGATCAGTGTATAGAACTCATTATAATCAGTGATGCTGTCTACACTGAATGCGGCGCAGCGCGACGCGACAAATCCCGACAGTAAACTGCTGCCGCGTTCTATTTATGACGTGCTGACACAAATTTCAAATGATTTTCAATGGTCGCTTTGTCGCGTCCAGTGTAGACAGACTTTAGCTGATGCGGCGCGGTGCGACACGACAACTGCCGCTTCCGGTGTAGACACGGTGTAACGGTTGCCTGTTACATTACAGTACATAAAATTTCACTTACCACATAAACAGAGTAAGGAGAGATGACTGAGGACGATGGCGAATGATTTGCAGATCCTCAGCACCCCTGACAAACATATAATCTTGTAAAAGTGGTAAGTACTGCCGCTCCGTAGTATAAACAGACTAGGTGCGATCACGAATCTCGAAAGTGAAAGTGAAACTAAAAAGCGATCATGCATTCAAAAGCAGTTTCAATGCCAGGTATAATAGCGGCTCCCTGATGCCCGAAACATATATGTAGTATAATTACCCAATGATATAACTGCGAGGGAACATATTGAAATATATATTTTCCTCTCATCTCGTATTTCCCTTTAGGGGTTCCGTATACACGTCATTTTCTTTCCGAACACGGTATTGGGATGCGGCGGATTGCGGGGGGATGGGGGGGGATCACGATGCCGGCTCAACATCGTGATGTCTATCAGCCATCGGCGATGGACGATGGCATCGTCTATCGGCCCAACCCTAGTTCACGTCACATAACTCTGCTGGAAAAACAGGTTAAAGTGTTTTACAAAGTTAAAGTGATTCATTTGGTGTTTTGAACATGGTAGCTGGTTTGTTACTGGTCTACCAAATCTAACCAGCTAGGAAAAGACCAGGTCAAAGTCCAGCTGATGAACCATCTAGACTAGCTTGATCTACACCATTTTTTTTGCTTATATGATCACTGGTGTAAATGTTCACTTAAACCTGGTGGAAAAAAACAGGTCATACCACGTTAAAGTGGTTAAGTTGGTTTTTAGAACATGGTAGCTGTTCTTCACTGGTCTACTAACTATAACCAGCCTGGCCAAGATGGTCTACCAGGTCAAAGTCCTGCTGATAAACCATCTAGACTAGTTTTAACCAACTATAAAATCACATTTAAAAAATCTTGATTTTTCAGCAGGGAATGTGTCATTTTGTTCATAAATGTGGCATGTAACACCAAAAAGTTTACTGTAAAATTTTTAGAACATGGCTTGTTGCTGGTCTACCAACACTAACCAGCCTGGCCAAAATGGTCTACCAGGCCAATGCCCAGCTGATGAACCATCTATACTAACTATAAAAGCACATAAACCATGATTTTCCAGCAGGGAATATGTAACCAAAAGGATTCCTTATGCAAAGGTCTCGCTCAAGGATCTTTCGGCCAGTGGGTTTGTGATTTTAGGTAAAGTCATATCTCGTAATTTCATAAATTGATCTGAGATGTGAGCTAATGGGGCGGCAGGGGTTCATGTGTTAGCTGGAGCGTAGCGGACAAAGCGACACTTTAGGGGAGGCGGCCCTCATTAGAGATCCGGTCAAGACCGGTGACTGTTATTTTCCATCTTGATTAAGCAGTAATGACAGCAGAACTAAAGAGCTGTACAGGACAGAAGAAAAATGATAGAATGAGATGATGGAAAAGATCAAATGGATGTCAGGAGAAGAAATGCTTTGTCAAGTTTTCTGAAAGCTTATAGTGGAGTCAATATTGGCTTGCCCTGTGTTATTGATTATGACTGTTATCTCTCACGACAGAGACTTTGATCATTTGAATGTTCATATCTACCTTTGAAGCTTCATTGCTAGCCAATCTAAACCTCGACACCACTGTAATGGCACATACTGTTTGATGCACGCGAGGCGAGCGATATATTGAATGCAAGCAACTTAGGAACAAATTAAATATTAAAACCTTGGTGGCGGAAAGGGTTTTATAGTGATGAAATGCCAAATAAAACATAATCCCTCAATTATTAGTGCATGCATTTTCCAATGCAACACCCTGGCAGACAAGAAATGCAGCTCTGCCTCTTCATTAAAAATCGAAATTGGAAAGATTTGAACTTTTATAAGGGCAGATACTGGCGTGGACAGAATCCAGTGTGATTCAGAAACAATACGACAGCCAATAATGCACATATATTATGCTCTAGAGCTAAAGTACAAAGAGAAATGTGCAGTATTGTAATGTTTCATTAATGTACAGTATTTAACATCGTTTCGGTTGATTTACTTGCCAGTGACGTCAATGCTATCAAGGTGCATTATGGCAAAATATGTTACATATGAATACGCAACACTATCAACTTCATAATAGCACGCATACATCAACCAGACGCCTATTTGTGCATCTGGCCTTGAGGCATTTGTTATATTGAGAACCAATAAGATGAGGTGTGATGTGAACTACCTGTTCTTTATACTGCATTAAAGAACAACATATTTGTGCCAAGGATTGCATTTTAAAATAGCTATTTTGTATCCTGTGAAATTAAAATATATCAAATCACCCTCTGTGATTGTTTATATGACTGCCTTGACGAAATCTGACCTGAAGGAAAAATAAGTACCTATCAAATACTTCGGCAAGTGTGAATTGTAAAATAGCATTTGTGTGCATTTTCAGTGTCTTCAGCGTGTAGTTGGTTTTGAAGGTGTTTCATTAGAAATAAGCTGATAATTATTATTACATTAATTAGAATTAATGATGAAATCAGGAATTATGTACTTTCTTCAGTGCATTATGGAACAATGCCAAGAACTCGTCAGACACAAGAATGATTCACAATTCAGTTTTACAGATTCTGTTGTTATTTTTTACATTTTATTTTTCAGTCCAAAGATGTATCTCATGAAAACATGTCCAGGTTACGTTTCGCCAGAAAATCAAAAGAAGAAAAGTACAGGTAGGTGGCATATATATGTATGTATGTATGTATGTATGTGTGTGTGTATGTATGTATGTACACACACATTTTTTTTTTTTAATGGTTGAAATATGACCTGGACATGTTCTTTGCAGGTTTTGTGAGATTCTCCCTCATATTACAATATGCCACATGACCACAGATGCTGCTATATGAATATGTCTGGGGCTGGTCTTATTCTGTACATAGACATGTTGACTGTTGAAAGGTCTCAGTTAATATTTACTGACAGAAATTCTCATGATATTATATGGGGTCCATGTTTGATTGAGACCATATACGTTTTAATGACTTTCCAGTGAATGCCTTGTAATTATATTGTTCTGCCAATACTGATTGTTCAAGCAAAAATATATGGCTTCAAAATGTTATTTAGCTACCTTAAACATTGAAATATTGTTATGATATATGAGAAAATATGTAAGCTTCAAAAATAAACTTATATAAAGCAACAAATATATTCTGCATCCGTTGTTTTTTTAAACATTCATACATTAAAAACACATATACTTTGGTGAGAGTTTTAATATATACGTCATTCACATTCTTCAATTAACAAGTCACATTTGGTTAGACGTGTTTGGAAAATCATAATAAATGTAAGTTTATAAAAGAATATCTTTTAGCTTTAATGCAAAGCTTAAAATACAAACTATTTTTCAATGGTTGATCAACTAATTTAAATGCATTTGTCAAAGATATTGAGGATCAAAGCAGCATTAGTAATCAACAATGCATATAAAATGCTTATAAATGTTCTTGCATTATATTTTAAAATATAAACCAAAGTATCATGTAATATAAAGATGATTCGAGTCAGTTTAGTGGGGAAAATAACACTGGATAACCAGAAATCACAGTCCATTCATCCGTGAAGAACTATGCATCCTCTATCGTGTGCAAACATCTTCATTGCACTGTAAAAAACAGAAAATGGTAAAATCATTAAATTGGTTGATGGTGTGAAAATTAATTATTAAGACTTGAGTATTATATAATATGGGATCTCATTGACTTTTATTGTATGGACAAAGGAAAACAACACTGACACATTTAAAAAAAAAAAAAGATTTGTGTTTGACGGAAGAAAAAGGCACAGGTTTGGGATGACACGAGAATTGACATTTTGTTGGGTGAACTTTCCCTTTTATTAAGGAAAGTCAATTTTTCAAGCTAAAATCAAAGTAGACTCACAGGTCAGTCTGTCAATGCATTTACGGCCGTGTGAAAGTCACTAGCGCATCCCACACTCCAGAGGAAATGACATCGGTGGCTCAAAGACGACGCCGATGGTCTTTTATGGGTAAACAAGACCTGCGACACGTCCTGTTATTGAACTTCAAAGCAACATCTATTCTAAAAGAGCAGCTGTGGTGCTTTTTTTTTTTTTTTGCTTCGTTATATTCATAGAATATTTCACAGTCACCATATCCATCTTATGCATTTCTGACAAACTGTTTAATTCTGAGATTCATCTAATGGCGGAATACAAAAAACTGGATTGTGAAGAATCAAATGTGCGCAGAAAATCAAGTGACCTTTATTTATATAGCGCTTTATACAATACAAATTGTTTGAAAGCAGCTTCACAGTAATAAACAGAATCAATCAAGCAGTTCATCAATTATGAGACAAATTCTGCTGTAAAGCAGCTCTAAAAAGACAATATTAAAAAAAAAGTGACGTGACATGTGGCCAAGTATACTAACCCATACTAGGAATTAGTGCTCTGCATTTAACCCATCCTAAGTGCACACACACAGCAGTGAACACACACACACACCGTGAACACACACCCGGAGCAGTGGGCAGCCATTTATGCTGCGGCGCCCGGGGAGCAGTTGGGGGTTCGG